GGACGGGAGAAGAGCCCGAGCCGCTCAGGACTCCGGCTCGCGGGCCGCCGCCGGGCCCTCGCCGACCCCCGGAAGCGCGGCCCCAGGCCGGGACGACCGCGGGGGGGCGGGGGCGCCGCAGCTGAGGCCAAGGGTTCGGGCGCCTGGCGAGCCCACCGCGTCGATCCTCCCGCGCGTTGGCCGGGCCCGGGGACTCCCCGAAGGACCCCCCGACGAGCCCGCGGACGCCTCCGAAATGCCCTACCTTCGTCGGAGGCCAGCGCCGAGCTCAGCGCGTCCAGGGTCCCCTCCCCGGCTCCCCCCCAAAACCAGCAGGCCCGGGGGGAGAGATGGGGAGACGCGCGGCGCGTCCAGCGGGGCCGAGGCTGAGGCTCCGGCTCCTCCTCCTCCCGCGGCGGCGACTGGTACCTTTGTTTGGCGGCCGCTCGGGTTCCCTCGCTGGGGGGAGGGGGACGACGAAAAACCCTCCCGGACGGGAGCCCGGGCCCCCGTCGCGCTGCCCCCCAGAGGACGGCGGCCACAGACCCTCCTGCGGCTCGCTCCGGGGAGAGGTCCAGGCGGCGGCCGTGGCGGCGGCCAGCTAAGCTTCAGAGACTCCTCCGCTCCGGCGCCCAAGCTCCTCACTCCGGACTCGACTGACGGGCAAACATCGCTCCCCCCGCCCGAGCCCCCCCGCTTCCCTCCGCTCTCCACTCCCCTAAGCTGTCTCCCCTCCCCTACCTCTTTCCCGGATGGCCTCTAAGACGACCGCGGATTGGCCAGGGTGTCTTAGAACCCGCCCACACTTCGTTGTTATTGGCCCTTGGGATACAAACAACGACGCCATTTTCCCACCAGTTCTATGGAAACAGAAAGTGACGCCCCAAAGCCTACCGGGAAATGTAGTCCGACCCGGGGCGCCCGGGTGCGAGCCCTCGCCCGCGAGAACTGCAAGACCCGCAACGCCCCGCGCCTGCGTGAGACGGAGGGGGAGGGGGAGGGAAAGGGGCGGGGCGACTGTGCAGGGAGGTGGCGGCGGCGCCTGCGCAGTGGGGCCGGGATGGCGCATTTTCTTGCACAGAATAATGCGGCGGCGCTGGCGGCCGAGGAGGGCGGAGAGTTCCTTGATGAAGTAGGGGGAGGGATTCATGGAAGCGTCGGGAGGAGCCCGGGTGTGAGCTATAAAGTGGGAAGTTGATGCGGGGCCCAGCTACTCCCGGACCGGTGGCGCGGAAGCTGTGATCTCATCGCTGAACCGTGAGCGGCAGTGGTGGCGGCAGGCGGGGGGGGGACCGGATGGGCAGGAGGGCGGGGTCTGGAGGAAAGAAAGAAGGATGGTGAGGCCCCGGATGCTGAACCGGATTGGGTCCGAACGTTCTGCGTCCCCTCGCGGGCGAAGGGGAAGAACTGGAGGGGCCGGATCGGGGCGGAAAAGGGCATCGGAGCGGAGAGGAAGCGGATCCTTGCGGGCCCGGCGACCCTGCAGGCGGAGCGGATGCTGGAGGCTCCCGGCCCCGCCGCGGTGGAAAGTCGGCCTCGGAGGAGTTGTTCAACCCCCCGCCCGCTTCTCGGGTCGTTCTCTGCAGACCCGTCGTCGGCCGGAAAGGTTGCCTGCGCTTCCGAGCTGCGCTTGCATTTGTAGGTCTCTCTGTAGCCATTCTGACACCAGATCCTTCCCTTGATCTTTTTTTTTTTTTTCATGCGCAAATGTGCGCGCCCCGATTTCACCCTCGAATGCGTTAGAAAGCAGTCTCCGTTCGCTCGCTCAGTCCGCGTACTCGCTGAACGCCTACCGGGCGGAGGAACCGGTCCGGCTCCTCCCTGGGTGGACCTCAGCCCTGTAATTTGCACGCACTGGCGGGTGCGGAAGGGCAGCAGCGGCGAGTGCTGGCTGCAGGGTGATAAGGGATCGGAGATAGACCGTGCGGTTAGGGACCTCGGGGAGGGCTTTACCAAGCCCGGGAGGATCGACCTGAGAGGTGAGGGGTTGGCTGCGGGTAAATAAGGAAACAACATTTCAGACCTAAAGAAGAGCACGCTGGAAAGCCTTCTGTCAAACGGGAGCTTTTGAAATACGGGGAACTGGGGCCGGAGGAGCAGGGACCCAGATCCTTACACACTGTGTTAAGGAGTTTGGGATTTGTTTGTGTGTTTTTCCAGTGGAAAGAGAGATAAGACGTCCCTTCGAAAGATTTCAGTTTTACAAAGATCACTAGCTCATGCAGGGAACCCAGCTAGGAAGTTACTGCAATAGTCACATGGAGGGAGAGAATATGTTTTTGTATTTGTCATTCATCCATTGTTTGAATAAGTTTAAAGCAGTTTGCGTTTTGAAATTGAGTAGTTTGGGACTCACATAGACATTCTGTAGTATTCATCAGCCTAAAAGTAAATTAATAGAGCTACAGCCTGGTGTGCTAATTTTTTTTTATTGTTTTACCTACATACTCAAGAGTAGACTAAGTATGTTTTTTTAAGGGGAGTGAGAGGGTGAGAGAGAGAAACATCTGTTGCCACCCACCCCCACTCCCACCCCTACAGCTGATGGAGTCTGCAACCTGGGCATGTGCCCTGGGGGAGGAAGATCAACCAATTGAGCCACACAGACAGGCCAGGGCATGCACTTTCCAGTTCTTTAAGTTCATAATCCTAAAGACAAAAAATCATTGTCCAAAGAATCAAAAGAAAGCAGATAAAGGGGAAAAACCTGAAATGTGCCAAAGGTGTCGGAGCAATTAGAAAACTCCTAATGTGGGGACAAATAAAAAGAGATTTTTACAGAGCAGGAGAGTAGAGATTCAATAGTGAAGGAGGATTCTAGGCAGACCATGAGTGATATGCTAGGAAATATCGAAGTAAATGTAAATTTAAGAAGAATAAAGGAAGAGAATATTTTTAATAATGCATGTCTTGTCTTAAATCAGAATCTCTGAAATGGACTGATTGTAGTGAAAATACAGGAGGGAAGTCTCCCCTTAAATTATATATAGTATATAAAACATTTTAATATTCATAGAAACAAGTATGTTTACTAATTTGTATAATCAATTATATATAGAAGAATCTAAATCTGTGGGTTTGTTTTAACATTGATTTGACACAACAACATAAGCCTTTTTCACGGTTGAGTAAAAAAAGGTTTAATATAAGTTTTATTCCTTAAAATCCAGGTGAACACTGACCAATCATTTGAATGAAAACTTTCCTTTTTTTTAATGCGATATAATTTATATATCATAGTTCACCCGTGTAAAGTATACAATTAGGTGGGTTTTAGTGTACTCACAGAGCTGTACAACCACCACCACAATCTAATTTTTGAACATTTTGATGGCCCCCAAAAGAAATATCGCACTCATTGGTAGTCACTCCCTAGCCCCCCTACCCTAACGTTACCTAGGCAATTGTTAATCTACTTTCTGCCTCTATAGATTTGCCTGTTTTAAATAGTTCATGTAAATGGAATAGTACAGTATGTAGTCTTTTTTGACTGGCTTCTTTCACTGAGCATAATGTTCTCAAGATTTCATACCCATAGAATTTTCTTTTAAAATGAAACAAAGTCTGGCTTTACAAATTCCTTGAGATACAAATTCCTTTGCAGTTTGACACTCAAAGATAATTTAATTAATGAGATCATATTTATGATTCTCTTTTTTAACAGATCATCTTTGAAATCCAACAACAATGGAGAAGACTCAAGAAAAAGTCCAAAGAATTCTTCTAGAACCCTACAAGTACTTGCTCCAGTTACCAGGTAGCGGTTCAGTAGGTTTTACATAGTAGGGGTCATTCACATGTTAGCCTTCAGACTCACATAGGCGTTCTGTAGTATTCATCAACCTAAAACGAAATTAATAGAGCCATGGCTTGGTGTGCTAAATTTTTTTTTATTTTTTATTATTGTTTCACCTACATACTCAAGAGTACACTACAAAAAACACACTTTTCAATTCTTAAATATTTCTTTAATTGATTTTTAGAGAGAGGGTGAGAGAGAAACATCTATTGCCACCCACACCAAACAGGGTTTGTTTTACATAGTAGTGGTCATTTGAATGTTAGAATTCAGAATAGGTTTGCCAGCTCTTGAGATTTTTATATTTAAGGTCATGCATATGACAAAAGTGATGATTTGTTATTAAAAGGGACATTTTTGAGGTACCCTTAAAAATATGCAAGTATATAACATACCTAAAAATTAAAAATACTTAAAACATTTGAGTACCTTTTTGGAGGTTTTATTATTTATGGATGCCACACTTTCCTCTTCCCTACTAGATTAAGGAAACAAAAGTGACAATAAATTAGTTCAACAAAGACGTAGACACGGAGCCCTCCTACATCCCCGGAAATGCCAATTTGTGCACCAACAAAAAGCTTCCGTTACCTTCCATGCTCATGTTTCCACCATCACACGCACACTCCATTTCCCACACTACCAGTTTCTTTAACAGCCAAATAGTCATGCATCTAAATCACGTTACTTAAAAGCATAACCCACATTGTTCCTATACAAAGATGGGCCACCTGGTCATGGCGTCCTACGGTTACACTTGCCTAATCGTGTTTATGTGTATGTACATGCTTTGATATTTTTTTAACTTTGGAAAAATGATGATAGTAAAAATTCAGACATATAACAAGGGTAAGTTCTTAGAATAAAATTCTTTTATAAACCAGTTACTTGGACCTGAAATACTCCTTCTCATAGAAAAGGGAATACTTCAGGCCATGGCACTGTTACTTTTGGGTAGGAAAGCGGAGAGCTGTCCATTCTCTGAAACTTTAAAGGAATGCTAGATAATTTTAAGAGGTAATTGTGTGGGGTAATTCAATAGCAACGTACATTTCATTAAAAATACCTATGTTCTCAACAACAACAAAAATGCCTATGTTCTCTGAAATTGACAGTGCTAATTAACTGCCGCTAACTAGGCTGGCATCCTTTCAAAAGGAATGAATTAGATCATAATTCCTATTCCCCATTCCATTCCAAAACTGTTGATACAAGTTAAGATGAAAGTGATGGGCTGCTGAAGGATTTAGACCCTCTTTTGCCTGCCCTGATGTTACGGTTGCGGGGTTTAGAATGTGAATTTTGACAGAAGGGGCCAGTAGGGGCCCAGCACTGGAAGCTCTCCAGTGGGTAATGGATTGATGGGGTTGGATTTATCAAGTCTGATCTGTTTTACAGTAAATTTCTGAAATGTTTTTTATAATTAAAGTGTTAACTTTATTGCCAAATTTTATTCTTTAATTGCAGGTAAGCAAGTGAGAACCAAACTTTCACAGGCATTTAATCATTGGCTGAAAGTTCCAGATGACAAGCTTCAGGTATCTAGGCAATTCCAATCCCCCCCCCCCCCCCTTTTTTTTGCTTTGGGTAGAGAGAGAGTGAGAAACATTGTTTTGTATATTTTATGCCTCCATTGGTTGATTCTTGTATGCACCCAGGCTGGGATCGTGTATTGGGACGATGCCCTAACAAACTAGGCTACCTACCCAGGGCCTCTAACCTCATTCTTAATCCCCAAGAAATTTATGACATCGCGTAGAAATACTCCTAGCTCTTAATTCTGTTTAATGCTCATGCAATCTATTGTTTTCATATTGAAGTTGCTAAATAATTACTACTTTTAAAAACTAAGGCACCT